GTGTGTGTGTGTGTGTGAGAGTGTGTGTGAGAGTGTGTGTGTGTGTGTGTGCGTGTGTGTGAGATGATCACCTCCAGCGGTTGACGCCGCGGTTGGAGGCCCCGGCGAACCAGGGGTCCAGGAAGTAAACACAGCGCAGCGTATCGGAGCCCCTGGCGGCCTCCAGCAGAGCCGGGTTATCGTGCAGACGCAGACCCTTCCGGAACCAGTGGATGGAGTTAACAGACATGATGCGGATCACAAGCAGAAGCTGAACCTATAGACAGAGCTTTATTAACATTCCATTCATTTACATCATTAAAATCAACTATTACAACACATTAACGAGTCTTCATGTATTATTCCTTTAATGTGCTGAGAATAATTATTCATCATAATAATAAAATGTAAATATTATTAATAAAACACCGTTTTAATAATTAGATACTACTTTAAATAATAATAAAAAATATAATATTTAATTGTTACGTGTTGCTAAAATATTTACATGTATTATTAGATATATTTAGATAGATTATATTTTTATATAATATGAAATAATTCTTTAAAATGCTAAAGCATTTACTGTATGTAACAAAATGATGCAATAAATAAAAAACAGTTCATCGGTTGTTCATTTATTAACATCTAATTAATTATAATTAAAACCAAGTATTATCATTAATACCAAATTAAACCATATACAATTTAAAGCACGTGTTAATAAAAAATATAATATTAAGAATCTAACATTAACTAAAGCATACATGCATACATTTATGCTTATTATAATATTTTATATATTATTACAGTTTTAAATTATATTAATATGATATAAAATAACAAAGTATTTTACTTTCCATGTAGCAAAATGACACGGGGAATATAAACCAACACATAAAATAATATCTTTAATTAAAGATAAAAGCCCTTGCATGCATGATCAACATAAACAGAGTTTTAAACATAAATTTGCATATTTAATAACTGGGTCAGCGTCGCTTACGTCACACAACGCCATAGAAACCTGATAAACAAACAAAAGGCGCGCTTATATTTCGCGTTCTGTGCGATTTTTAATAAATGCGTATTTATGTAACTTCTTTGTCTGTTGAAGTTACAACAGACAAAGATAAATATTTGTATAATTTGCATAAATATATGAAATAAGCCGCGAGTTTGTGACGCGGCACTCACCTGAGGCGTTACTGATGCGGGCAAATGCGTTTATGTTATAAAATCATCAGCGTTTATGAAGATGTGCCAGCAGAACCGCTGCAGACCCGCTCAGTCCTCCAAAGTCCACTTACATAAAACCGGGCTAAATCAGAACAGGTTTACATAACGCTTCAGCGCACTGCGCATGCGCAGACATCCTGAGCACAGACACGAACACACTAGATCAACATTTATAACGTTTCAGAGCTCGTAGAGATACATTTGCGGCTGTAGAGCTCTATGGGCTTACCTTAAGCGTCTATACACAAAGATACATATGAAAAGACTAAGATAATCACTTTACGTGGAGCGTTTAAAGCGATCTATAGTTGCTGCTCTATGCTGCCTGCGCTGCGTCACGCCGCTCGTGGCCCACATATGGAGGCCGCTCATTGGTCCGCGCCGCGGTGACGTCAACATAGCCCTCTCACGTTTATGCGGCGTGAATGAAAAGAGCTTTGCGAGTCATTCTGAAGGGTTTTGAACAATAAATGCCATTGGGCGTGATTTTAAGACGCGATCCCGCCGTTCGTTTGTCATTTATGCTCGTTAGTAATGCTAGTAATACCCTTTTTTCCCGAAGACACCTTACCCCGCCTTATAAGCTCATCCGCCGTCTGATTGGTCGCGTCCTCAGAGACCCGGATGATCACAAGCGCGACTCTATAGAGCGCCATTTTGGCTCTGAGGGCGCGGTTTCAGTACGGCCCAGCAAAAGAGCTTAGAAGAGCTGGAAACTGTGCGAATGATGCTTTCAGTGCAACGGAAAACGATCTCATGTGTTCTTTCATACGTTGACATATATATATTACATTATAGGATAATATTTTCGACTCTTTTTCTAACTTATGAAAGTTACTACACATAAAGTGTATAATTATTAAAAACGTGTAATAATAGTGGATATATTTTTCAATTTCATCAATTATTTTCTAGAAAATGTACTGTTCTTTATGTTTTTACTGAAATATTTTGCTGCTGCTACGCAATAAATCCCATAGTTGCTCTACTGTAGAGTTACATCCACTGATCTATATATATATATATCTGTGTGTATATATATATATATATATATTATAGATCAGTGGTTACATCCTATTATTTAGTGTCAAATTGGCTCTTCTTGAATGTTTGTTGCTGTTGGCGTTTAGATTTTAACCCTAAAACAATCATTTCTTTATTTTTAAACCATTTTAAAGCATAAACTGAGTGAAGACTGCCTTATTTAGAGTGGCTCGTTGTGTTTTGTTCAGGCGCTCGCCGGGGCGCTTTGTTTTGGGGTCCTTCCTCGCAGCTCCGCGCCAGTCGCGCTGCAATCGCTCGTCGGGAGAGTTTTAATATTTGCAGTTTTTGCGGATTATCTATTCATATTTCGGTCTCGCTGCTGACTGGCCGTCGG